TACATTTTGTAATATAAAATAACAAAAATCTAAAATATGTAATAAACATTTCATATAAACATTATTTATTTTTAGTGTCTCTGTTTTTCAGGTATGCCCTTTGCTACTCAGGGATTCTCCTCTGGATATTCCTCGGCTGAGGAGCATTACGAACAATCCATAAAATCAAACCCTAGTAAGCGCAAATTTTAAAAAATTATAAATGGGAAAAAAAATAAATCACTGGCTAGTTGGTTGGTTGCATTGGTTGGTTGGTCAAGCAAAGAAGGTTGAAAAACATCTACTCTTTGTTTTCCCTTTTCTCCAGGTTCTGCCCAGTCTGTAGCTGAACCACAATTTGTCGTGTGGGACGTGTTTCATTCTCCAGGTATTAAATGTATAAACCCTCTCTTCACCCCACTAACATGAACAATCAGGCTTTTTTCCTACAGTAGTCATGTGCTCATGTGTGTGTTGCAGCTCAGGCTCTGGTTATGTTCTACTGGTGGCTGGGAAGTTCATGGTACAGCCTGACCTCTCGACTGTCTCTGATCAATGTGTTTCTGCTCAGCAGGTACAGTGCTCTGTGTGTGTGTGTGTGTGTGTCGTAATTACAAATGTGTGGCCTTAAGAATATGCATGATAGTTATGTAATAGTTCACTGCAACTTTCATGCACTTAAACTAGAACCTTTATAAGAAACTTTTTATTGTCTAGATAAAACAACAAAAAACAATCTCAAAATGTTTTACAGAGTCTCACAGACTTCAGAATAGCAGAGAATTGTGATTTCCAGTTCTGGAAATTATTAAAAACTTAAATTAAGTGAATTAAATTGTTTTCTAGATGCACTCAAACTTATTTCTGTTCATTTGGAAGAACCATTGAAGAACATTTCTTTTTACACATGATCACATTTCCTCTTTCCCTCTCTGTAGATGCACATCAGATATGAGAAAGACCGTCGTACTGGTCCTCCTTCTCATCTTTCTCATTTTTGGTGAGACAGCAGATAGTGACTCTTCTAAAATATCAAAAGCGAAATCTTGGTATTTCAAAATAACCCACTTTGAACCTTTAACACTACATACAGTACATGTAGCTGTAAAAATGCGTATGCATGTTCATGCCTGAATATTTCTCATTGAGTAATAAACATTAATATGCAACTACCTAATATTGTGTTGCAGGAATATGGTACTGGTTCCCGTTTGCTTCTCGTTCTCCTCCTCATGAGGTTGTTTCCAAGACTCCGTCTGTTAAACACACAGATAGACCTGTGAAAGAAACTTTTGTGAGTAGATTGTCTCCAGGTTAATTAGACCTCAGAAAGGTCCCGTTTCATACTCAGTTATTGTATATTTCTCTTAAATTGCTGTAATTATTTCATTAAATGCACTTTTTGCTCTAAAGGATCATCTCCAGCATGCCAGCCTGTCTAACTTGAAGGAAGAGATCGTCAGCTTGCATGATAGGGAGGCGAGCCTGTTGGTAATTAAAATCTAATCTCAATCATGTTTGTCTGTGTCTTTTGAAGAGGAAGTGTCCCAATTTCTTTCTTTGTCTGTTTTCTCAGAAAGACATCGAACTGCTGAAGATGGAGAGCATGAGACAGAAGGTCAAATCTGAGGTGAGGAAACGAAACGTTCCCTCTTCCTTTCTACCACCTCTGTTTCTTCTGTCATAGCGACAAGGCGCAAAACAGGAAATTATGTCATCCACCTACTTATGTATTTGTGCGCTTGTCTCCTAGATGATGCAAACTGATCTGAAGTCTATGAATGATCAGATGAGGAAGTTAGTGTCTTATCAGTTTTTTACTTTGATTTTGTGGAGTTTGTTCAATTTTCTTTTGCACGTTGCATCATTATTTTATGCAGTGATAAGATAAATATGTTTAATATTCATTAGTGCTGAGTCTGAACATGAGCAGCAGATTTCTAATCTGAAGTCCAGCATCTCAAACCTGCAGTCGGCCCAAGACCTCGTCAAGGAAAGAGTTGATGCACAAGACACTCTCAACACTAACGTAAGGGTGCTTTTAGCGCATTTAAATTCCTTTGATGTGATGAATGCAGTTATTTATTATTCAGCTAATGATGTCATTTCCTATGCAGCTGAGAGCAGAGCTATCCGACTGGCTAATAAAACTCCTGAAAGATCCAAGCTCATTGGAATCGACCATAGTGCTCCGTCCTGAGCTGCAGAGGGCGCTGGAGGATCTGGAGAAAGGGATACTAGACAAACTAGTGCATGAGAAAGAGAGCAGGAGAGACGTCTGGAGGACTGTGGGAGAGACGCTGCAACAGGAAGGAGCCGGAGCGGTCACTATACAAGTGTGTGTCTGTGTGTAATAGGATGACAAATGTAGAATTAGTATAGTAAAAAAAAAAAAAAAGTATTATTTTGAAGTACACATCAGGATCATGATGCCTTTTAATGAGATTTATTTTTTTTTAAAATATGTAACAGGATGTGAAGGAAATCATCCACAGGGCAGTTAGTCTGTACAGGGCGGATGGGATTGGATTGGCGGACTATGCCTTGGAATCTTCTGGTACTAATTTCCCTTGTGTATATATGTGTGTGTGTGTGTGTGTGTGTGTACAGTAAATATATACAGAGATCACTGTTTTCAACATTGATAATAATAAGAAATGTTTCTTGAGCTCAAATCAGAATATTAGACTGATTTCTGAAGGATCATGTGACACTGAAGACTGTAGTAATAATGCTGAAAATGCAGCTTTGTATCACAGGAATAAATTACATTTACAATATATTAAAATAGAAAACAATTATTTTAAATTGTAATAATATTTCACAATATTACTGTACTTTTCCATTGATCAATTAATGCAGCCTTCTTTCAAAAACATTTCAAAAATCGTACTTTTGAACAGTAGTGTATATATGTAATGTTACCGGACATGACTAAGTGTGTGTGTGTGTGTGTGTGTGTTTGTGCAGGTGCCAGTGTGCTCAACACCCGTTGCTCAGAGACGTATAAGACCAGATCTGCGTGTCTGAGTTTATTTGGCATTCCTCTGTGGTATCATTCAGAAAGCCCTCGGACTGTTATACAGGTAACAGATCACACAAACACTGTCACATAGACACAGATCTGACTCTCTAATGGCGCTTTTCCACTGCATGGTACAGCACGGTACGGCTCGGTACGGTTCACTTTTGGGGGGTTTTCCACTGGGTACAGTACCTGGTACTTGGTACTTTTTTTTAGTACCACCTCGGTTGGGGTTCCAAGCGAACCGTACCGTTACCAAAACGTGACGTGTAAACTCTGCTGATCACGGATTGGCCGGAGAGAATCGTCGCTACCTGCGTAACTGAACTTGCGACACAAAAACACAACAGAACCGCTAGATTTATATCAGCACAGCCAGCGAAGGATCGAACGCAACTGTTTTGAACGAGCGCACCTTTTTTTTAAACAACCAAAAAGTGGCTGTTCCCCCTGTTGAGGAAGTACAGACGTTCCTCTCGTTGATAGCAGAGGAGCGGATCCAGCGAGAGCTTGATGGGGCGACGCGGAATGAAAACGTTTTTCAGGAGTCGCGGCAGTAGAGGCGGCGCAACTATAACGACATGTGAATAATAATAATAATCCCGCCCACACTAAAGCGATACTAAACTGCAGTGGAAACGCAAACCGAGCCGAGCAGAGTCGTACCACGCAGTGGAAAAGCGCCATAAGCTTCTGTGTGTGTGTGTTGTAGCCGGAGCTGTATCCTGGGAAGTGTTGGGCATTCCGAGGCTCCCAGGGTTTCCTGGTAATCGCGCTGTCTTACCCAGTAAGAATCACCCATGTGACACTCGAACACCTTCCCAAAGAGCTCTCACCGACGGGCCGCATTGACAGCGCCCCGAAGGATTTTGCTGTCTATGTGAGTTGTGATATGTGATATTTCAATGGTTTTTTTTAATCATCTGCATAACAATGAAGCAACAGCTTTGAGATTCCTCGGCTGTCCTGTGTTCAGGGTATGTCTGATGAGACTGAAGATGGAAAGCTGCTTGGTACATTCACGTATGACCAGGATGGAGAGCCCATTCAGACTTTCAAGCTTGCGGTGAGTCCAAATAGACTATTTATAATCTAGCATCATTATATCATGGTAGTACATGTTGTATTTCTGTATTTAATATTTACATTACTGTTTAGTTTTTTTTTAATCAAAAATGCAATTAAACGGTCATATTGTGAAATATTATTTCAATTTAAAATAACTTTTAAATTGTTTGAATGTATTTTAAATATCATTTATTACTGTGGTTGTAAAGCTGAATTTTCAACATCGTTACTCCAGTCTTCAGTGTCACATGATCCTTCAGAAATCAGTCTAATATGCTGATTTGCTGCTCAAGAAACATTTCTTATTCATTTTATTAGTGTTAAAAACAGGTGTGCTGCTTAATATTTTTGTGGAAGCCGAGATACATTTTTTAAGATTATTTGATGAATAGAAAGTTCAAAAGAATAACATTTATTTCAAACTTAAATAATTTGTAGCATTATAAAAGTATTTTCTTTCTGTTCACAAATAAAAAAATCTCACTGACCCAAAATTTTTCAACAGTAGTGTTTATTTACACTGATTTAAATCAAATAATTTAATAAAACGTCTGGACACAATAATAATAATAATAATAATAATTGAGGGCAAACATTTTTTTTACTAATATAGGCGTAATTTTTTCTATGTAAAATAGTTTATATATACATATAAATTAATTATACATCTATTAAAAATATATATATTTTTGGGATACCTAGGTATGACCTAGATATGACCTTGTGAAAATTCTAGTAAAATAGTTTCTGTTTTCTTGGCTGTAGGAAGCGTCAGAGATCTATAGCATGACAGAGCTGAGGATCTTGAGCAACTGGGGTCACCTGGAGTACACCTGTGTGTATCGCTTCAGAGTTCACGGAGAACCTTCATTCGTCTGAGAGGAAGAGGATCTGAAATGATTCTTCAGCTTTGGTTTACTCTATGCAAAAAAACAAACGTAAAGCTCAAATGCACTGGACTCTTAAAAGAATGAATCAGACAGCTTCCTAATGTACGAATACCAAAAAAAGCGCACACAAACGTCATACTGATATCAGAATGTAGATCGTTTGCCCTCTCAAAAAATATTTCAGTTTTGCATTCCTCAAACATTGATTTTCAAGTGCTGATAGGAAAGTTTTTATGAAAAGGTGTACATTTTTTTTAGTTGTTTATACAGTTTTGAATTAACTTTTGTGATTTATTGAATTTTTTTCATATGAAGGACAGGCTTATATTGTGTGTAACAGCAAATATGGTTTATAAAACCAAATGAAGGACAAAAAGTGTCATGCTTAGCTGGAATTACCATAAAGCAGCATTTGTGTTGTATTGCTCTGCCTTTTACATTTGTTTTATCCTCAGTATGCGTTTTGCAACGATAGATGGTTCTGAAATGTGTTTATTCACGTCATCATTGAACCATATACCTCTTAAGAAGCTTCTAATAGTTTGTTTAGGTATGTCCTTTTGTAACGATGCTGTTTTCTTTGAGCAGCAGTTCTGATTGCACTCTTGAGACGTTATTATTTTCCGCCCCGGCTGAGGAGTATAGACAGGTACTAGATGGTGTATGTCTCCTCTGCGGGACGGGGGAGGACTGGAGTCAAACTCAGGTTTTGGGTTTTCAAACCAAAGTGCTCTTGAACGTCCCAGATTATATAGTTCTGTTGTCCTCTATTTGTATATATGTGCTTAATGATGCAGTTTTTCAAATGCACACTTAAAAGGTATAAATATTTGCTTTGTCTTTGATTTATTTTGGCATCCTTTCTCATCGAGCTTAATAGAGCTTCGATGTTAATTTGGCAAGTTTACATGAAGTTTCTGTCACATTATAGATATTATTTTGTAAGAAATAGGATTTTTTAAAATAAATTTGAGATGGTACATAATACTGTGTGAATGCTAATACAAATGCATGAGTTGCACACATAAGACATTTTCATGCAGATCTGCATGTATAGCACTGCACTGATCTTTCCATGCTTCATTTAATAATTCATGGCTAAAGTTCATCCAAATCATTTGCATGGTTTATACACTGACAATTCAGCAACTAATTTTTTAGACCTGGCTCAATTTGACTTCAAATTCTACCAGCTATGCTTTTCTACATGCAAAAAAAGCATAGATAACACTTTTTTTTCACATGCATCTCAGACTGCTGTATGTGACTTCACACATATACATGTCTCTATCACTTGCATGTATTTAATAGTAATAAATAAAGAGGGTGGTAATATTTTTTACCCCCACTTTTCAGAAGTTGTTTTGCGTCTGCATTCCCTAGTGTGGACACATCTATACATATCAAACACAATGAGAAGAATCCGGTTTCATTTATCTATGACTGACCAGTGTCATTTCACCACACCCTCACAAATGCTGTTATGAAAGGCCAAAACTTCACTACACAACACTGCCAGGGTTCATTTGCTTTGCTGAATTAGAAATTAAAACGGTTCAACTTGCTTTTCTTGAGGGTCGTGATTTCTGCAGCTCTAAGCTAAAGCAGTGGTTATTATAGGTCTTCTAATAAATAACACCAGTTTCAGTTGCTGGAGTTTTATCTATTAAGTTGAATCAGGTGTGTTTGATGAATCAGAACCACTTGTTGGAAACCACCCAAACACTGATCCTCAATTCATTCACAAACACTGTATTTTTTTCTAACAATTTTATTTCCATAACAGAAGTAAAACTGAAAGCAAAAAACTAAATAAATTAGGTGATCTAATAAATACAGTAAGGTAAACAAAACAAAACAAAAAACGGTAAGATGTTTTCATTGTTTTACAGTATTGACTACCATGATAGTGCATCAAAGAAAAGAAATATATTCTACATTATAAAAACTGATGAAAATGGTACAGCTATTAAAATCACACTATAAAACTACAATGTCTTAGACATAAAATTCACCTATTTTACATTCATTATTTACAGTTACAGTGGAAAATCACCAAACTCTCCATAGGCCATAGATCATATTTGTTTCTTTTGACAATTCCACACAACACACATCAGTGATTTCAGTGGGACACGCTCGTTCTGAGAGTTCACGTGAACATGCATATGATCTGAAACACACAAACACACACACTCGTGTCTTTCTGATGTGTACAAAACCTCAAACACACACACAAGATGCTCCCGTATGGAATGCTGTGAGGGTGAATATGTATTCAGGATGCTGGTGTTGAAACAGAAATTAATTTGACCTGTTGTATCGCTGGCCAAATATCACATGCACACACTCAAACTCCACTCAAAAGTGAAAAAAAAAACTCATTTACAGGTATTTGATATGTCTGAAAAGTGACAAATCATATAGGTGATTAATTAGAGCTGAACAGCAACCATGTAGGTTTTTTTACCTAAAAACTAAAATGTATTCTGGAGTGTTTAAAAACCGGAACAATGTTTAACAGCAGATTATATATATATGCTTACATAAGTAAAAACCTAATTTGATGACTCTGATGTGTTTAAAAATCACAAATACTTGGATGAACTATCAAGGGTGAAAATACTAGGTTAAAAAAG